AGGATTTTTTTTTTTTTTTTTTTTTTTTTTTTTTTTTTTTAACTCGGAAGAGGGAACACTTCCGGTTTCAGTATCACCGACGGCCCACAGGCCAAAGTCAGTAATACACACCATCTTGCTTGAATGAAAGTAAATTTTATTTTAAAGTAAAATTAAATCATTAAACAAATTAAATTTTAAAGTAAAATAAAAAAATTAAATTTTAAAGTAAAATAAAAAAATTAAATTTTAAAGTAAAATAAAAAAATTAAATTTTAAAGTAAAATAAAAAAATTAATCGATATGAAGAAACGACCTGACAAAACTTGACGTGCTTATGACGACGGACTTCTGCATTGATTGAAGCAGGTAACTTTTTATTCCAAGGTCTCGAAGATGTTTAACTAAACTTTTTGGAGCTATCCCCGTTACTGACATTATAAGGGGCTTGATGCAAACAATGTTCAGGTTCTATAATCGCTTCATTTCCGCAGCTAAGGGCAGATATCTTGCCATCTTTTCTCGATACTTTAGTTCCGAGTTATGATTGTTAGGGACGCTAATCTATTCTGAGGATATTTCTATTATTAGTGTTATTATTTCTTTTTTGTTTATTCTTTATTTATTTTTCCCTTCCTTCTTCATCTATCTATTCTCTCTTAATTTTTTTTTCTATTTTTTTATTTTATTTTTTAAATTTTTCTAAATGTATTTCTATATTTATTCTTACCTTGTTCCCTCCTCCTTCCCCCTTTCCAATTTCTTTTATTACTTCATTTCAAAATGTGCTCTATTTTTCCTTTTTCCCCTTTTTTTTCTTGCATTATTATCAGTTGAATTTGATTTCATGTCTGATCCGGCAGAATAATTGGGTATCCCAATTTGCCGGGCAGATAAATGTTGTTTTTTATTTTATGTTTTACATTTTGAATATATATCTTATCGTTTCTATCTAACACGTTTTTAACTCAAAAAACGGAGAAAAATCGCCATTTACATACATACATACATAAAGTCGCGATTATAGCGCCGCCTCGCGCTCTGCGACGCCCAATCGCCATTGCCCCCTATCCTCCCAGAGATCATCAGGCAATTGGCACCTTCTGATCTCCTCCTCCACGCCTTGTCGCCAACCTTTCACAGGACGTCCACGCCGTCGCCTTCCGGGAGGAACCCAATCGAAGACCTGCTTGGGCAACCGGTCGTCTGCCATCCTTCGCACATGTCCATACCAGACCAACTGCTTGGACCTGATATCGTGCACGATGTCCTTTTCCACACCCATTATCTCACGTACCCTTTCATTGCGGATACGCTCTCTTCTCGATATCCCAGCAGACCTTCGCCAAAAGTCCATCTCGGTTGCCCTAAGCATGTCTTCAGTTCTTTTCTTGAGTTGCCAGACCTCACTCCCGTAAGTTACGATACTCTTCACGATGACGTTGTAAATTTTTCTTTTGGTCTCCTTGGAGATACTCTGGTCCCAGAGAACCCCATTTAGCATCGCGATAGCTTTCCTGCCTTGCACATTCCGATCTTTAATGGCCCGATCCAAATTTCCGTCCTTAGTTAACCAAACTCCTAGATATTTATACTCTTCACAGTCCAGGATCTTCCGGCCATCCTCCAGTTCAATGCTTTGCTGATCACCACCGATAACCAACTTCTCTGTCTTAACCACATTTACTTCCATTCCCCACTTTCGGTATACTTCCACTAGCTTCCGCGTCATGTAATTCGCATCTTCTTCGTCCTGAGCTATTACCACCTGATCATCAGCAAAGCACAGAGTATAAAGGGTGCCATCTTCACGTAGCGGGACGCCCATTCCCGAACAGCATCTTTTCCATTCCTTTAAAACTTCTTCCAGGTACACTTTAAATAAGGTTGGCGACAAACAACATCCTTGTTTCAGTCCTTTAGTAATTAAAAACCCCAACGATAACTCCCCATGCGATTTAACCCTAGAAAAAGCCCCACCATAAAATTCCTTAATAGCACTAATTAGTCCCCCACTAAAACCCCTTTTGTTCAAGGCTTCCCAAAGTTTCATCAATGGCACACTATCGTAAGCTTTCTGGAGATCCACAAACACTAGATGTAATTCCTGGCCAACTCCCTTCTTTTTCTCCATGACGTGGATGATGGTAAATAAGTGATCAATCGTTGACCGACCGGCTCTGAAACCTGTGTCATTATTATTATGGAAAGATAATTGTACGAGAGCATTTTATTGATTCCTGTAATAAAGCTTGATGAGCTAACTTCATTGTATTTTGTGCGATTTTTTCTGATGAAGGAAATGGGGTTAAAATAGATTTAAAAGTGAAAAACTTAACTAACTTGTGACGTCAGAGGGTGGAACTTTCCTAAACACATTTATTTTAGTGAATTTGATAGCTCCATTCATGACTCCTCATACAATTGTACGGTTTAGAAACCGCATATAGGTATTCAGATATTCTCGTTCCCACTTCACTTAAAAGTTCTCTAATACTACATGAAAATCGTGAAATTGCAGATACCTGCAAATTCTCAATTGCGTCGAGACAAAATGAACTACGTTTTTGCGATAAGGAAATACTTGTTTGGGTTAATTTTAGGAAACGTATGTGTCATTGACTTTTCAACGCAAATACGAAATTTTATGAATAATCCATGAATGGTGAATCGTTATTACAAAATGAAGTCCAAATCATTAAAGAAAAATTATTTTAATATGGAATGCGTCTTGCAATAAGGAACTATAAAAGCACATACATGCACAAATCGTCTAATAGTACAGATGTTGTCTCTAATAAAAGCCAGAAATCGTAGTTCTTTACTGCAACATGTAATCCATATCATCAACGTATTTTTGCCATGTCCGGACTTACCTACTTGCCGCCTATGGGCCGCCTGTATTTTGCCGCCCTCTTGTCATTCATTTTGAAACATCAATGAAAACCATCAAGTGAACGTGCCGAAGGGAGAAGGGTGCATAAGACGCGTTCACTCGTGTTGGACACATTTTTTGCGTAAGCCCTGTCAGCACTACTGGCAAAAGTTCACGGAACTTCGCGCGGAAGTTCAGTTCCGTAAACCTATTTATGTGTGGACAAGGCCTTTTATTTGTAAGAAATGAACTAAAAAATTAAGAAAGAACAAACATAAATGTGGTTTAATAATTTTAACTTCCGCCGCCGTGCCGCGCTGACCACACTGTGTTTGGCGCAATGCGTGAAGTATTCATGTAGTCTTGTAGGCGCTGTGCGTTTCACGCCGCGCCGACCGCTGTTGACCGTACTGTTTGAAGCAATGCTTGAAGTATTCGTGCAGTCTTGTAGGCGCTAATATGCGTTACATGCCGACCGCCGCGCCGCGCCGAGGGCTTCTCCTTTTCATCTCAAGTTCTCGTCATCATTTCTCTCTGCGCCGCGCTGCTCCAGGCTAAATCATGTGTTTGGCTTCTCTCTTAACTCAACTAATTAAAGGTGCGCAGTCTTTGGTGTCACCGAAATACGACAAAATTAGAAATTAATGTACCCTCAAGAAATGAGAGATTTTGTCACCTTTTCTTGTTTGTAATTTTTATCTGAATCCGATTTTTTTGTACCTGCATTTAAAAAAAATTGCAAAATTTGCCGCCCCCTAATTTTGCCGGCATAGGCCGCGGCCCATGTGGCCACCCCCTTAATCCGGCCCTGATTTTTGCTTGGTTCAACTCTGTTTTGTAGGTATCTCGACTCCGACTTTGGGACGAAATCATCAATGAGATGCAATCCAAGAACCCTTTCCAAAGCTGGAGCAAGCAGAAAAAATGTCGTCTAAAGATCGGAGTGGTCCTTATTTTTAGCATTATGGCGATTGGACCTATCTCAGTACTTTCGGAACTGGTAGAGAAATCCTCAGTGGGAGAGTACGAATCGATGTTCCGGCTGCTGGCTCAACTTCCAGTTACAATCATTACCCCGATGTTCGCCGTCGTTTTAATTAAATATTTTCGGGAATTCTGCCACTTCGAACTCGCGTTGAAAGGCAAGTCGACAAAGTCAATTACACTCACACCCCAAAAGTACACGTGAACATGAATCGTATTGGAAACATTTCCTGTCTTATAATTTAACTTCATAGTGCACTGGAAAAAAAACACATTGGATCTTGAGTCCAGACTCATGAAAACATTGACAAGAACAAATACTCTTGATTCAATCAAATTTAAGCTTAAATCAAAAGGAAATCCGCTCAGATTAAGAGACTTGATTCTTGATTTAAGCAAAAATCCGATTTAATCAAGAGTATTTTTTCTTGTCGATGTTTTTAAGAGTCTGGACTTTTTCCAGAGTGATTTGCTTTTATTTTTCTCTCTAACCAATTTTCGTAATTTTTTTTTTAATTTGATCAAAGTGGTTCATTTAGTAATATAGTCTGTCACATGATAAGTAAAAAGTTTTAAAGACCCGTAAGGAATGAGAATATGATGTAATAATGACTTTAAAAATGACGTTAGAAGTCCTGTTGAGTTGTTGAACAAATGTGTTTTTCTCAAACGCCCCCTCACAGATACGACCAAAATCTTAATTTAATCCAATTGAACGTATTTCTACCAAACAGACCTATGTGGAGGTGTGAAATGTGGGGTGTGCTCGTCAGTTCTCTTGCCTTAAGAGTGAATGGGAATAATAAAGCGCCAGTGACGTCAGCGGCACTCGAGCGAGGGGGAGATCGTTAGAGGGAGTCTTTAACTCATGAGCCCTGTGCACAACGCTCTCTTGCCATTCCCGCGGCTCATGACTCCCGCACTCAGTTGGCACATGGTCTGTTTGATAGAATGTAAAATCCCGCTTTTCCAATTCTTCAAAAGGAATCACGCCCACTTTTACATTGCTTCTTATGCAGCTTCCTAGAGCACACCCCATATTTCTCACCTCCACATAGGTCTGTTTGGTAGAAATACGTCCAATTATTTTAAGATTTGGGTCTAAAGCACCCAAGCAGGTTGATCCATGGTAAAGCGTGATGAATTTTCAGAGACTTCCGACTTTGCTGCGTCGTATTCTCCGAGGCTAGCGGCGAAGAAACAGAGAGACTGTCAGCGCAGTTTTCGGATCTTCATGAGGAATTCCAGTCTGTTTGTCTACATCACATTGCTCGGCTGGTTTGTCTACCCTATCTACGAATATTGGAGTATGTACCCGGATGTCGACTACAGTCAACTTCACTTGTTCTATGGCGACCAAGATTTCAGTCTCGAGCGAAGTAGATATCTCTGGTGCGTACAACGAAGTATTTGAGGGTCATTCCCTATTGGCCCCAGCTAGTCCTTCACTTCCTTGACAGTCAAAAGTTTCAAATCAGTAATCTTCTCTCTCGTATCAGATCGAAAGACTGGATTCCTATTATGTAGTAATAATCAATTCAAAGAGCGAGTAAGAAGGATTTGTTATAGTGGCGGATCCACCAAATCGGCAACATTATTTTTTCTCCATTTAAACCCTTTGGAAATATATCGATTCTTCGAGGGGCTAGGTGCTCCAACGAGAATCGATTATTTAACAGAAGCTTAAATGGAGGAAATCCGGCGTTGACAAATTGCTGGATCCGCCTCTATTTGTTAAACAAAGATACCTGACTGTGTTTTGGCTGAAAGCACAGTATTCTGCAGTTGGATAAAAATAGTAACAAAATTAAAAAACTAAAATCTTAGTACTCGGCTCTACCTTTCAAAACGAGAAGAATGTTGTTATGAAAAAAAGGTTGAAAGGTACAGCCGAGCACTAAGGTTTTAGATTTTTAAATTTTTTATTGTTTTTTATCCAATTGAGGAGGGCTGTGTTTTCAGCCGAAATGTTTTGGTGTCATTTGTGTAACCTGTGCAGATGTGATTCATTTTTATACAGCTCCTTTTAGCGTGAATGGACCGCGTTTAGAAAAAAAGAACCAAGCCATATCAGCTACTGCCAAATTTAACTATTTAATTTTTTTTTACTAGGGATCGTTTGTGCGCATTCCTTTGAAATTTCGGAAGCATTTGCTTCGTACTATGCTTCGTACTTTGCAGAAAAATTCACTTGAATTGGCACAAAAATCCGCACAACCGTTTTCATGTGATACATCGTCACCTCCCAGGCAAAGTATCACTACCGCCATGCGACGTTTAAAAATTTCCGCCGTCATTTTATTTTTTTACAGAGACATTGTTCAACGAAGCTGTCCGAAAATTTCACTGAATTTTCTTTGTGCTGCCGATAAAATTTAGTGAAATTTCCAAACAGATTCAACCAACAATTTCTCAGTAAAGAAATAAAATGGCGGCGGAAATTTTTAAACGTCGCATGGCGCTTGTGATACTTTGCCTGGAAGGTGACGACATTAAATTTCCCAACCGGGTTTGTCAGTAGCGGATGTGGCTTATTTCCGTTCATGAATGCGCAGGTACCTACATGGTGTTTCGCTCATCAGCGTTGCGGTTTTGACCATGGTGATGTTGCTGCATTACGCACTCCCAATCATGCTCATTGAGACCCAGGTTCACGTCCTCATCGGTTCACTAAGGGCCACCGCCACATCCCTCAACCGTCACGCGATGTCGCACCGGGTCCAGTTCATACGCCCCGCCACTCCTCGTAAAAAGAATCGTCACGTACGGCTACGTAACAGCAAACGGACCGCCTCGCGGGAAACTTTTCCGTTGAGGATAAAGGAAGCGTCAAAGAACGCTCATCCCAAACATTTTCTCGGTTTCTTGGAGGATCATCAAAATACGGGCAAATTAGCTCTAAGATATTGCATCTTTCACCACCAAAAAATTCTCAGGTGATGAACGGAGATATAGATAGCTTCTAACTGTGTAAAAGTAAGGTCTTACTAAAGTTTTGGACTAAATAAAATAGAATTTGGTAGAATCAACCTGAAATTTAGATTTCACTAGCATAAAGAGTTAATAAAACAGAAAATACAAAAGCTTGAATAAAACAGACAAAAAATTCAAAAAGAAACAAAATTAGCTGAATCAAAATACTACGGGACTTACGGGATGTCCCATTGTCTAAGGGACCGTTCAAGAATTACGTAACGCACGTAGGGGGGATTGACCCAGCGTTATGGTGCGTTATAAGGGGGAGGTGGGGTCAAACTTAGCGTTATGTAACAAATTCGAGCCGGGAGGGGAAAAATAACTTTGAAAAAAAAAAAACGTGCAAAAATTGAAAATCTCACTCTTCCCGAATTACTTTTTTTCTTGATTTTTTTAAAATTGAGGGAGGGGTTCGGGGCAGCGTCATGTAATTCAAAAGGTGGGTTTAGGGCTGTGTTACGGGTGTGTTACAATTTTTTTTTGGGGGGGGGTAAAAAATCGGAAAAAGTGCGTAACGCAATACATGAACGGCCCCTAAGGGATCAATTATTATCAGATCGCAGGGGTATTTTCTGGAGGCCAAGATAATAATTTTTCTCCTCAAAAAGTTTTTTTTTTCCTCCAGAAGTACACAACCGGACTCCTTTCATCTGCCAAAGATAAATGAAGCAACAGAGATTTCGTCTCAAAAACTTTCACGGATTATCAAAAAAATCTCAGGTGACGAACGGGGATATTATACAGAATGTCTCGGATGGGTTAAAATGTCCGATCAAGGAGGTGTTTTCTAGGGGTAGAATTAGATATTTTTCTCCATAAAGTTTTTTTTCCCCAAAGCACACCACCGGACTCCTTTCTTCTGACAAAGATAAAAGAGGCGACAGAGAGTTTATCTAAAAAAGTTTCTCGGTTTTTTAGAAAATGATAAAATTAGGGAGCGTAGCTCTGAGATATTGCATCTTTCACCACCAAAAAATTCTTAGGTCATTCCTCTTCTGACGTAACGGCATGAGCCCTGGAAAGCGTAGAGTTTTATGGAGAACATGGCTCACGTGGAAATTGGGATACGCCCTTACTTGAGAGGTCAATGAAGTGATAAACGAAAACGTTAATCAAAATATCCCAGGGTTAAACGATCAGGTCGCAGGAGTGTTGTTTGTGTATTCAAATGACACTGTGTCCAAACTGAGTCCATTTACCTCAATGCTTTTAGGAGGATCGTTATTTTTTTCTGGATTTTGCAAAGGTTGTGAACCATGCCTATCCTTTAAAATTTTTAGCACTGTAATCGTCTATGACCTCCAAAAGGATTGAGTGATCAAGCAGATATGAGGACATTCTGCGCAGTTTTGATCCTTTCAGAGTTACATTTGGTTTTTTGACCAATGAAGATGCATTTTTCAAGGCACTGTTGTTTTGGATGTTAAATCATTCCTACTAATGGTCATTCCCATCAGCACTGTTTCATCAGAGCTTTTTTTTTCGAGAAAATAGCCTAAAAACTCAAGTTTCTTACCGTGAAAGATTCAACACTATCCAACGATAATAGTTGAATTTTGGTTTCAATTGATAGTTTACAAAAAGTAATGCATCATACCTTTCCTTATCAATGCAAAAAATGTGATTCTTCGGATTGTTAGGATTTGGAAATGTAAAACCATCGCACGGAATGTAGGAAACAAAATTATAAGGAATATACAAAACCGTAAATTGTAATAATGTTCAATTTTACCCCTTTGTTCATTGCTTTTGTAGATTGTTGAGACAGCTCAAGTACTTGCTTGCTCCAGTTTTGTTTTTAAAGGTGTTGAGTTCAATTGTCACTTTCACCCATATAATGGTAATTATTGCCTCGGTAAGTAACAGAAAATCACAAAATATGTTTATTAGGTATTTTGGTTTTTTCTAGATTCCCTAGCTTCCTGCTGAGTTTAATTGGACCACATTTTGTAATTAGGAAATACAGTCTCTAGCTCAGTTTAGAAGCAACGTATGTTCCATAACATTGCCTGCGCTGTGCATAAACTAATCGTACATTAGCAAGGTAAAGATTTATTTTGTGCCTATCTGTAAAAATTATTACGGATGAGCCAGAAATTATATTTTCGAATTGCAAAATGCAGTCCAATTTTGTAAAAGATTGTCACTTCAAGCTCTGCTGAGAGTAAGAGCAAGAATGGTTCTTTCAATTTTTGACCCTTTTTTCCCTCATGAAACGTTTCCTTTCTGGGTTCAGTCCTATCTCTCCCGACTTCAGTTTTGGGAAAATCATTTGAATGAATTAAATGGCATGGCACATTTGAAACTTGTAAATGTAATTTGGGGAACATTATTATTTATTTTAGTAGGCATGAAATGGGGGGGGGGGGGGCTCTTTCACAAAAAGCTGAGAAAAAATTCTGAAAATTACGCCTTCAATAGTTGAAAGTTTAACATTCCCCGGAAACAGACCCCCAAGAAAGTACTGGTGGATTTAATGATATACTTGTACTTGAGGAAAAAGGAATTGCGCAATGATTTGGGATGCCGACGATTTCATCACATAATATGCTAATCGGTCTTTTTCTGAATCTCACTCACGCATATGGGAGAATATTTTCTCTAGATTAATGCAGAATGATTTGGTTTCATAAAAAATGTGTGGGATGCATCAATGACAACACCAGTATATAACGGGTGCGTTGTTTTTAAACTTAGCTAAAATTTTTCTTCTTTTCCGTTTAATTGAACCTAATACTTCTGACTACAGGGAGGAACTCACATGCCGAACCTATTGTTATATCTAACTTTTGTGGTTTTCTTCATCAACTTGGTGTTCACAATTTTGTATTTGTCGAGGCTCATGGACGCCGTAAGTTATACCAGCTATTTTTTGTTCGTATAACAAAAAAGGATGAGAATTATTATCATAAATTGAGCGAAATTCGGAAATAATGTGAAATGGGCAGCTCGATGTTTGAACTGCACCGGTAGCGTTTCTCAGTAGGCAACAAAAATTAAGTCCATTTAAAATTTAAGTTGACATAATCTGTACTGCCAATTTTTGAGACTTTTTTTACCTACATTTAATGTTGGAATCGACATACTTTTCTTAGTCTGGTAAACGACGATTATAGTAATATAAGCAGGAATTTGAGGCACACGTCGAGCGGGCGGATCTCGATAATTTTGACAAATGCATCTAAAACGATGTGAGGTGGTAGATAAAACATTTTTAGTCACAAGCCAAAGCCTTCTTTGAAATATTCGCTTCTCAGCGACGGAATGGATTGTATTTTCCTGTACTACGCCTACCCTAGGTGGAAGGAGCAACCCACAATTTGGCAATGCGGAAAAATCTCGCGAAGTGCTTTAAGTACAGCTTTCTCAAGATCTACACGGAAAAAAAACTTCGTGCGTGGGACCCGAAGTTGAGGTCATATGGATCTCTGAAGTTTTCGGCTCGCGTATCTAAAAACTTGAGGTCCAGCTGCCGAAGTTCGGGTCAGACATCGAGGCCCTTCGGTATGTACCGGAGTACTTCAGATGTGTGAGCCGAACCTTTCGGTATGTATCGAAGTACTTCAGATGTCTGACCCGAACTTCGGCAGCTGGACCTCAAGTTTTTAGATACGTGATCCGAAAACTTCAGAGATCCATATGACCTCATCTTCGGGTCCCACGCACGAAGTTTTTTTCTCCGTGTAGGCTGCAATCTAAAGTAGGCTGCAAAAAAACTATCAGAGAAGATATCATAATCGCTGTCACTTACCCGTTGCTAAACAATGCGGTTTTGTTCCGTCTTGTATGAATTAATACCAAATTAATACGCAATTTAACATAGAAAAATGTGTGCGGTTCCAGGTCGCCCTTTTCAAGAAGTGTGCGGTTCTTGGATTCTCCCATCTGGAGGGTTCCGACATTATTTTTACCGATGAGTTTTCCGACTCTGAGTTGTTTTAATGGGACCTTCCTAATTTGCAGTGTCGCGGCGTTTCGGATGCTGCCGCCGAGCTTGTGCAGTACAGGCACATACCCCGCAAGGACCTCTTCATAATTATCAGCCGATCCTTGAAGGAAGAGACCTTCTCTTGTTACCTTACTTCAGCTCTGTCGTTTAAGGATCTTTATCGGGTAAGACGATGATATTCATGAGTTAGGCTTTTGAAAGCCACAGGAATAGACCACTTGACAAGGTACGAATTTTAGAATTCCAACGCAGAACATCACTGTTAAAAATCCCGGCGCGAAATTCACGCTTACTCAGTTGCTATTTTGACCACCGGTTACTCTGAGTGCATGGATCCGCCGCGAATTTCGCCCTTTGGCGGGAGTGAAAATCTGCGCTACCACTTTTCCATTCGGCGCTCGTATCAGGATGCCCTGAATTCACGCCACTTAAGGTACCTCACCTAATTCATCCGTCGTTGGTGATATTTGGACTGAGTTATAAGCAGAAAGGAACCAACCCACTGGGAAAAATTGAGCTATGAGTGGTTTTGAACTCAACTACTTTTCTACTATCTATCGCCAAAAATTCGAAGTTTTTATTGGAGCAAATTTTGCAGAAATTGAACTTAAAGTTTATCTTTTACATTGAGTCTTATGCAGGAGCCAAACTTTAAACCTCTATTTCTCGGTTCGATCCCGATGTGGCTTGGTTCCTTTCTGTTTAACTTCGTCCATTTATGCTCTGATCCATTCACTCAGAGCACGGCGCGAAAGCGCTGGATTTTTTTTTCACGCCGGCTATTCACTCAGAGTAAATCATTGATTTTTAACAGTGATAAACTGCGCAAGGTAAAATACTGAAATTAACTCAATTTAGTACTGGTAGTGACTACGGAAAATTTGAATCCGGCGCTCGTAAGAAAAACTAGAGTCTACTTGAATCCGGGTCGCACACTATCACGATTTTGGGACGCTTCCTAATCAACTAGTGTGTCTTCTCCACCCTGTGTAATCAACAAGCACTAGTGCGTAGAGCCAAAGCGCAGAGATATTTACCTTCCGTAGAGATTGGTAGTGGTACTATCGTTTTTCTCCGTGAAATTTTACAGAAGATTGAGTATTTGGGTCCCAAAACCCTTACACATGCAGGAAAGATTCCCCCATCAACTAGGTGAGAAATACGAATCAATGCTGATACAAATTATATGATACAACTATTCGTGCTTTGCGGATGTCTGGGTTGCATACCCTCAAAAATGCAGGCAATTTGGTTTGCAAGGGTTTCAGCTCATTGGTAAAATAAAGAGAGTATAAACGCATAAATTATGTTTAGCGTGACTGAGTTATGAGCCATATGATAGGGTCAGAATATAAGCACCGCAAGACATGTTTTCGTATCCAAACATGTTACATACGTTGAACATGCCAAAAAGACCCGAATTCACTACATATGAGAGAGAGCGTTTACCGTTCGCTTAAAAGTTAGAAAATTTAAACTTTTCACTCGCAAAAGGAAGTTAAAACGAAAGTGAGTCACTTTGGTTGTCGAAAGCTTTATCTTTCGGTAAAAACCAGATTTTTGTTTCAAACTTCGCTTATCCAAATCCCTTCAAGATATTTCCTAGACCCGGCATGTCTGCACTGCAAAAAAAAGAAAAAAAAAACACATTGGATCTGGAGTCCAGACTGTTGAAAACATTGACAAGAAAAATACTCTTGATTCAATCAGATTTAATCTTAAATCAAAAAGAAATTCGCTCAAATTAAGAGGCTTGATTCTTGATTTAAGCAAAAATCCGATTGAATCAAGAGTATTGTTTCTTGTCGATGTTTTCAAGAGTCTGGACTCTAGATCCAATGTGTTTTTTTTCCAGTGTGATAGGAGATTCGCGTAGATTTCCCCGAGCATCTAAGTGTGAGAATTCGATCACTGTTTGGTTTCAGTTGTTGGACTTCTCGTGGAACTATTTCATCATCGCAGAGGCAATGGCGAGGAAACGCCCGGAAAACAGCTCATAAAGAAACTCCAGTCTCATCCCAAACTTTCAAGCCGCGAATGCCCCGGCCGCATACGGGTGACCACGCCGAAATTTCCCGAGCCGCCAGGATGTCGTAGGCAGTGGCGTGGCGTGAATTGCGATATATCGATCGTTATGTCATTTAAAACTATGAAAAAGGATCGATAAACAGGGTGTCCGCAGCGAACACCTTAACAATCGATTCTTTACCATAGGTTTAAATGGAATAACAATCGATATATCGCAATCCTGCAGAGATGGCTCTCAGGGACAGGATCGTATTGCAAATTTTGGTTGAATTAGATTTTCGCACCTGCAAATTCACTGAGTGGCGAGAAAATGTGTTGGTTACTTAATTTTGCGAGGGCGGAAAGAGGGGTTGTTCTTTGCAGGCACTGACTCAACAATCACGATGATTGAATCAGAAATGTTGGAGATGCATTCCTACCGTCATGATATGTAGAAGAACTTTGCGTATTTTTGTTCAATTTGAGGACAAGCGTAAAACTAAAAAGGTTTTCGGTTATTTCGCCGGAGTCGTTGAATCTTGTTTTGGTGAAATTAGTTATGACAAATAAATAAAATGCAACTACTGTTATTTATCTACTTTTTTCCCTCTTTATATTACTCCCTATTCGTGTTCGATCAACCATGTTATACAATGGGAAATGATGATATTACTTTTAAATTAAATAATGCAGCAAATAATACGAACAGATTGACGAAGACGTGGGTCTTATTATCAAATGGACGAACAAGCACATTTGTCGCATTTGCAATTAAGAAGTAAGATTTCTGGCTAATTTTAGAAATAAAGTAGGGGTATTGGAATCCCTGCGCAGATATGTGCTACTATAGATTAACCAGAAATAGTGGTTCCATGCAGCAAAATTTAGTTCAAATCCTGTTCCAAATAACTTTTCTTTGATGCATGAAATCAAAAAGCAAAGCTTACCACGCATAAGCGAGGACCACGGTGTCTAAAACATGAATGATGTCGCAGGAATTGTCTAAAATCCACCAAAGAAAAGCCATGGCAAGGCATTAAGCTCTCAGAAACCTTCACGACCGATAACGAAAACTAATTTGTACAAAATGGCGCAAGTCACAACTCCAAGCCACTGCAACAAACAAAATACAGCCATTTACGCACATGAGAATAAAACAAGTTGGTTATTATTCATAAGTAATATATTAGAACAAAATTATTCAGCTTTCAGTTACGTACCCATAATGAAATCAAATAAAATACTGAGCTATCGGTCGATTTTCACTGCAATGATGTGCGAAGTCAGGCCATGCTTTAATAAAAAAACAATCCTCTTGTACATTGTTTTTTGATGTTGACCTGAGTTTGCACATCATTGAAAGCCGGCTAATAGCTCAGTACTTGAGTGTCATTTTATGAACACAAGCATAAATTTTCGTCTTAAAAATTTCCTTTTTTTAATGACAATCATTCAACACCGCCGTCATATCATAAAACCCGCTGTTTCATGAGCTCTAACCAAGGTGAAGACATTAGTTCAAGCCGACAACGTAACGTTGAAATAATCTCTGTGCCAATTAAAACTTCTTTAATACCATGCGCAGGCAACTAGCACTACCCTGGAGTTTGAATAGTCGTATGCAGGCGCCGTCATCAAGAGCACCGCGCCATGACGAATGACGAAATACTCCTCTTATGCGAGACTGAGAGCGGCTGCATGAATCAATGCATCATAACTATTATAATTCACTTAAAAATCACAATAAACCAAGCCTGCAAATCCAGGATTAATGTGAATTATGTTACCACTGCTTTTTTGATGGATTGACGTAAGTGCACCTCACCTCTAAAATTCCTAAATGGACCACTAGACAAGGTACAAAATATCAGCATTCTGATACATGATCCTTCACCAAAATTTCATGTAAAACACAATGCGCACAACGAAAATTATCGAAATTAATTCCTTCCAAAGATATTTAATGATTCTTGATGCGTGAATTGAAACCACCCACCCGTTCATGAAACCTCAATGCTCTACGTGATTCACACCGAGCGCTAAACGTTATCATGAACGTCTCTGCGATAAAAAAATCTGGCAACCTCAATCTTGACGCTTTGGCTCAGCTATAGCAAATTATTTATAGTTTGAAAAACGCACGGTGGGAAATGAACATTGCTCGATTGAGAAGCTTGCTGAAACCGTTGTAGTGCGCGATTTGACTCACGTAGAGCTTTGAGTTTCTTGTGAGTGGGCATTTCAAATTCCTCGTAACCAAGGTAAAATAAACATGTTAATACCTCCGTTAGGAGTTGGTTTCAGTAATTTTCGTTGCGCGAATCGTGCTCTACGTGAAATTCTGATTAAGACACATGTATCAGAATGCTTAACTTCGTACCTTGTCTAGCGGTCCATTTTAACAAACAAATTGCAAATCCCTGCCAATGCACAATGGAGATGTGTCCTCTCAAAAATATCTTTAGAAGGTATCTATGTAGACTTAGTTGTTCAAGATTCTGGTGAACTCATAGACTTTGGTGAGTCTTCTTGACTCTATAGTTTCTGAGATTAGCTTATTTCCTGCAAGTAACTCTTCTGATTTCAAGATAGTCCAGCGGTTCAACTCCGTCTATTGAGTCACCGAAATGTCGATAAAAGTAATTTTGATGACATAAAAAATCATACAGAGCACGTTTTAGCTTCGAGCAGACTTCGTGCAAACGGCAACAATGGTAAAGAAATTTCAAATTATGCTTATGCGAAAACTTAATCACAGCGTAGAATATTTGAATTACGAGTTCTTAGCGATTTAAGTCTTCTTTTCTGAGCTAGGCAAAGTCTAAAATCTCTAGAGAAGGAACTTCACAACTAACACTACAGACCTCAAGGCGACTTATGAGTGAATGATCTTAATAGGCTGTGACACTGAGTCAAAAAAGTTTGTCAGTCCTCCCTAATGCATGTCTTTTAGGGCCTGGCGTGTGCTCTGAAACTATTGACGGTCCAAACTCGTTGTATTTTCGACAGTTTGAAGCCACTTTTAAAGTTAAAAAGGAATCTCATCATGGGAATGAGTCGATGTAGACAAAAGATGAATGAGTACAGCATCGCAGTTCTCAATGTATTTTCTTGAAGATTTTCTGGAGGAATGGTGATTTCAACATTAAAGAGTCCAGACATCAACTCCAAAGTCAGATATTTACGATTGTGAATGTAGATGGAATACAAAGAAAGTGCACGATTGTTATTTTACCATTTTGAATTTTAAATATTCTAGTAAAAATGCATCGAGCAAATAGTATGGACTTTGTTTCCAGATATAACTTTTTATAAGCGCCGCTGCATGAAGTCAAAACGCCTTCAGATTTAATGTCTGAAGTCAAAACGCCTTCACTTTCGACAAATGCAACACGGACATCCGTAGAGTTCGAATAGTTGCATCCAGGCGTTATAATGAAATTGTCTGAAGGTCCATCAAACGCGATCTGGCAACAAGACCTTACGCATCGTACAAATATCCTGTGAAAACTATAAGGTTTGAAAATTAATTCGTTCTTCTTTAAAAAAATAAAATGGAAGCCGAGATTACTGAACACCGCAAACGAGTTACGTGATCCGGTAGTTTTATAGTTGATATCTTGATGAGGAAAGCTATCTAGTTGTGTACTTTGGGAGTTCTTTGGAACAAGGGGATATGAGACTTGCAATGCTGCTAGGATTGTGCAGCTTAGTGCATCGTCTCCAGTTGAACAGTTTGAAAGCTCTGCCGGGATTTTTTCTGAAAAAACCTTATAATTTTGATTTTTTTATCTGCAAAAGTAATTAGCATGTATTTGTAACTTGCTTCGCTGCAAATCGCATAGAAAGTAGCACGCAGCATTGCAAGTCTTATGCCGTGCAACGCAAAAATGCCGTAAACGCCATTTTACATGTTTTGGAAACGATGTATCATAGCAGAAAAACTTGTGTACAAACTTGTGTACTTTGTGTACTTGTATGTGTTGTGTACTTGTATGTGTTGTGTACTTGTGTACTTGTGTGCTTGTGTACTTGTGTGCTTGCGTATTTGTGTGCTTGTGTGCTTGTGTACTTGTGTAATTGTGTACTTGTGTACTTGTGTACTTGTGAACAATGTTTTTACGGAATTCTTTCGCAAATACTACCAAGAACTTAACCTGAAAATTTGAGGTGCATGGGTCAAACAGTTTTATTTTATAAAGCCGGTTTAGTTCCAAAGAACGATTGAAAATCTTGATGGATTCACGGCGTTCTTGTTTAGCACGGTGGTTATACGCCCTTCTTCCAAAGAACTCAATTCTGATCCTGTTTGAAGGTCCATCAAGCGCGACCTGGCAACAAGACCGTAAGTATCTAGCAAGATGCTTCGTCTATTACTTACGCATTCAATCAGTGAATCTGACGACTTTGAACGGCCGGTTTCGTCTTGAACCGTTACAAGAGGCAAGAACCACTCCACGCCCAGCCGCTTCCTCTCCGCCCGAGTCAGTGGCGGGGCGTGAATAATCGATTATCGATACTTCCCCATTTGAAGCTACGGTGAAGAATCGATTATTAAGGTGTTCGTTGCGAACACCCTGTCTATCGATCCTTTTCCATAGGTTTAAATGATTGATTAAACGATAAATCGCGAAGCACGTCACGCCACTGGCCTGAGTGTGTCACAGTGTAACAATAGTCACAAGCATGCTTACAGATCGCTCGTCAGTACCGCGAACACGTCGCTCTGAATACGCACGACTCAGTATTACGACTCCTGAGATAATTCTACATTTTTCCGGGTTTGGGCTCCTTGTGCGGTGGCCCGAGTGATATTTCCCAGTCGGAAAAGCTGGCGACAGTTCATTCCAAAGAGGTTAGTTCACGTGCTGTATAGCGTCGAAAAATTTGGTTTTCGGTCATCGCGTAACGTGACGTAATATCCGATATTTCGGAGCTTTTTTTTGTGCTCGTGAAACTTGTGATAGTGAAGGTTAGTTAATTTTTGGTTGTGGATTGGACCATTAGACAAGGTTACAAGATAGAAGCACCCCGATACTTATTCTTCCATTAGGACTGAATGTCAAATACTATTGAAAATTTAAATAATCCCAAATTCAATTACTAATTGAGAATACGGTGTTTTTTTGTGTATTAATTCAAAATTTCCGCTTAAAAAATATCGAAGTCCACTTGAGTCAAATCGGGTGTAACAATAATTTTAGTGAATTTCTTAGGTGACTAATTTGGTGTTAAATCTTTTTCCGAGAAAGAAGGGTCCGAGGAACACTTCTGCTCAGATAAACACTGTTACCTCATTCGTGGAGCAATTTTTTATTTTTTAATTATTTTTTTTTTCAATTTTATTTTTTTTTTTCAATTTTATTTTTTTTTTCAATTTTATTTTTTTTTCAATTTTATTTTTCATTTTTGAGTCCACCGACGTTGATTTTGATAATTCTCACAAGCGGAAAATTTGAATGAACTAACTCAAATGTAACTGCAAACGCAAATTTTGCTCATTTGGGTTAATTTTAAGAGTTTTCGATAAATTCAACTCGTTCTGCGTGAACTTCTTATTAAGAAACACGTCTTTTATAACTTAAATTCTCATTTTATCTTGTGACATATCGTATTTCAATGATTATATCTTACAGATTTTAAGGTGAATATATTAGGATCCGTCCTAAAATGAAATTTTTTATGTCAAATTCAAAGGGAGCAAAAACGCGATGTTTGTCGCCATTCTCAGGTGTAGTGCATTTTGTGATTGCGATCAACCTCGTTCTTATCAAGAGTGCAAGTACTTAATCGTATGATGTAACCCGTATGAATGTGTGCATCATTGATGCAGAAATTAAGCTTGAGGAAAAACACGCGTTCGGTGACGTCATAGCTCAAGTACTTCGAATGACGACACTCCCGTTGTGATTTGATGCAGGAACTTGGTGTTCGCAGGAAGGGATTAGCCGGGACAGTGGCGTGGCGTGCTTTGCGATACATCGATTGTTATGCCATTTAAACCTATGGAAAAGGATCGATAAACAGGGTGTTCGCAGCGAACACCTTCATAATCGATTCTTTATCATAGGTTTAAATGGCATGAGAATCGATATATCGCAAAGCACGCCACGCTACTGCCCGGGAATGGTGTACTGCTGTCATGCTAAGTCAAAACGCCGCCTAAAAATTCGAATGTTGCCAAATTTCTTCTCGGAAAACATCAATTGTGGAGAAAAGTTATGAATATTTTTCCATGAAATTTGCAGACTTTTTAGCTAAAATAACCTACGAAATCCTGAGAAAAGAAATATTCACAAATTTTCCTGAAAATTCGTGATTTTCCGCATGAAATTTAGCAACGTCTGATGGCTCATACGCCGTTCTTACTTCGCACGGCAGTGTAGCACCTCATGATCACGGCTCACGGGCTCTTAGGCGTGTCTTTTTTTTTTTTAAAACATCAGATTCTCTGGGAGTCTTTGGAGTCTTAAAGACAGATTTAGAGAGGCCTTAAGCCTGGAATTTTGGGTGTCATATCCGGCCCTTAAATTTAAGGATTTGGGGTTCCTAATAACCGACACTCTGGGCCCCTGAGTGCTGGTTCGGCCAACGGTATTTGAATATAGAATAATCATTTTCCGCCGATTGACGTGGAATTTTGGTATTCCTTTCATATTTTGTGAGTCAGTTTCGAAAGAAGAAACGCTTGGATTAAATATTCAAGATTTGCTTGCTTACAGCCTGTAAGCAAGCAACTTACTAATTCATATTTTTTAATATTCCAAAAAGTTGCGGTGCTTTAGTTCAGGTGTAAAAGATATACGAGCCTTGAAACAGTACTGCCGTGCTAAAATAGAACGCCTGATGCGCTTTACAGTGTTGCCAATATTTTCTAATTTAATGCTCATTTTTTAAGTTAAATTATGAACGTCTAATTGGAAATGTTTAAATTCCTCGCAGCACAAGTTAAGTTTGAGCCTCTCTATGAAACTCGACGAAAAAATGTCCAGATTTCTAGAAATTTCATACTTCGAAACGAGAGATTTAGCAACGTTTCAATGATTATACTGCATTTTCCCACGATAGGAAACTGATTAGGTCGATTATCATAAGTTTGGGGTCGGTCAGTGAAGCATCTCGTTTGAAACAGTCTCGCTGCAGACATGGTGGGTATTTAACGGTTTATTTATCGATCGCATCGGAGAATTTTTCGGGAAGAACTGGGCGACGTCGCATCATTTTTAATGAAGAAACTAAATCATCGGCAAAAATGAACGGCAAGTTTTTTCGAAAAACTGTTTGCAGATTTGGATATAATTCACAAAACTTATCAGCACAGACAACCGATATCTGGTCTGCACTCCAAGTTCAAAGTATACAGACAGACGTGAAGTCGTTGAAGGGCTTGGGATGACGTAACACCAGCCGCACATGATAAGTTTCGTAACACCCAAGAGCACGTGAGACTTTGGAGCCATGCTTGATCGGAAGTTTCTGAAAAAAAAACCCAAGTTTATTTACAAATATTTCATTTCACCTGCTGATTTCAATGCTTAATGCGGCGTCAAAAATTTGGACGAATTCATGGCAGAACCAGACCACTTATACAGGAAGAGTAAGGACATGCCGATAATTCTGCGGTTACGCCAATGGCGTCTTAAGGCCCAAAACGGCAGCCAACCTATGAATTCAAATTATAGGTTCGTTACGTACTTTACGACTTAGTTTTTACACAACCTTCCTTATTTTAGCGGAAGAACGCTCACTTATGGACATTCTTGGCCACCTTGGTTTGATATTGGAATCTGAAGACTGCCAGTGACATTTTTCGTGTGCGTAGGTTGGATGCCCTTTTGGGCCTAAAGAGCTCTTTATTAGAGCTGATAGAGCTTAAAGCACTTCAGCTTGTTAGATAGGTTGGAGATGTATGAACGCATTAAGTATACGTAAGTATATGCACAATTGCACACTTTCAGAAATTCTGAGAAATAGCTCCTTGGTTGTGTGATATTTGAGTTTAAAAGTAACCAAACTTCCTCGGCAGAGAGATTCATTAAATTGTGTTCAGAAATAAAAATAAGTGGCCAACATAGCCCCACTCTAGAACAATGTTGAGGCTAAGATGCCATGTTTGTACTATGATGCTAGCATGTGAAATTGTGGACACCATGCATGGGAGCGTCAACATGGCATCATGTTCCACTCACCAACACGGATCATGTTGGTAACAATACTATCGTTCTTAGCAAGGTTGTGCTTTACTGCTGTGGATTATGGCAAAAATTACGTTATTTTGATTTTTTTTTTCAGCTTATATCGAGGTTGAGTCGAGGCGCCGTTTAATTGGATTAATTTGAATTCAAGCATGGTGGAGGATGACATGATAAGGCGCAGTGATGAATGGTGCGTTTTGGGCATCACAGGAATCGGCCGTTCTGGGAAATCAACCCTGGCGAAGAAACTAGAAGCGAAGATCCCTGGTTCTTACGCCATACACCAAGATGACTACTTTCATCCACTGGACTACGAAGGCCACGAATATGTAACCGGTTTAGGGGAATCGGTTGCCAACTGGGAGATCATCTCAAGCATAGATTTCGATAGCCTATTATCTGACGTCAGGAGCATATTAAACAGGTGAGCCCCCCGTGTGCGAGTTAAATACTGCCGTGCTGCGGAAAAACGCCGTATGAACCTACAGGCGTTTTTTTACGAATTACAATCTACGTTTGAGTGCCTGAGAGGCGTTTTATACCCCTGGAGTCAAAAAATGTTGGCAGAAGAATCCTGGCGCTATCGTACCAGGTCAAATTTTTAGAATTCGTTGTGCTAAAAATATGGTCTAATTTGTTCTAAATTTGGTAATGATTTCGTTTCGTATTGGAAATCGAGGAAAGCGAAGGATTGGTCCTCATGTTCGACAATGACTAATATGGCTTTCGTAACTTAGTTATAAGTTCACCACGCGTCATGCGTCATTCCTGTTCTGCATCGAGTGGTTCACTTCATCATATTTAATTTAGATACATTTGTAATATTGAAGTCAACCTCAGGAAGTATTCCAATCTTCTCGTCTATTGCGTCATGTCCTCGTCATTTTCCGTTGTTGTCCACAAATTAATGTGTCGTCTATCGTGACAGTCACTGGGAAGGGAGGGATTACATTTCATTTAGCCACGCAACAAGAATTGTTGCATTTAGGCACAGATTGTAGGTGCTGTGAGGCTAAATGAAAGAGGAAAAGCGAGTGTAGCAAAAAGCAACACATTTTCTTAAAAATAGCCAAAAGAACAGTGCAAAATCACGTATCCTTATTACAGAATCACTGACCTAACCTATTTCAACCTATTTCAAACGTGGCGTGCTTCGATACATATCGATATTTCTCCATTTGAAGCTATGGTAAAGAATCGATTATTATGGTGTTTTTTGCGAGAATCGATATATCTCAAAGCATGCCACGCCACTGAGCTACACAGAGAGAAAACTCAACACAAAAGTTTCGTTAATATGGGAAGTCACCCAGAACACAAAATCACCCATTCGGTTGCCTCTTGGGTTCCTTCGTCTCTCCATTGTTTTCTGCGCTAAATTCACCACAAATGGTACCAAAATCAACATAAAATTTGGGTTAGCTTGCGTGTTCCACTTCCTATATTAACCAAAAGTAACCTAAGAACACAAATATTTTATGTGTGTATCTCTAACGACTCCTCTGGTTAATTCAGCTCAACTCTGGCATAACTCCTTTAATCGTTATTTGCTTCTTTTTTCTTTCTTTTCTTTAAGGCACTTTTTGCTAAATTTCAATTTTTAATTCTATTCCATTCCATTCTATTCAATTTATTGTTTTTGTATTTTTTTCTCTTTAAATTGTAATTAGACTCAGACCCAAATTTTAGTTAAGTAGTGTTGGTGTCATTAAGGTATGTTTTGGAGCCCTTATGACCCTTTACATCTTTGAATAAGAATTAAACTAATAAATAAATGAATCAATTTTACAGGTATGATCCTCCCGAGAACCCGGTATTGATCATTGAAGGACACTTAGTGTTAAACGAACCGAGACTAAACTCCATAGTGGATAAAAGAATTTGCTTGACGATGGATAAGGAGGAATGCTGGGAAAGGAGAAAGCACGTGGACTATGGAAATCATGATTCCAAGCGGTATTTCAACCTTTGCGGATGGCCGGAGTACCAGAAACGATTGAGTGAAATGAAACAAATGAACGACCGCGCCAAACACAACAACGATAGAATCAAGTTCATTCACTACAGCACGGATTTTGATAAGCTGGTAGACGAGCTGATAGCTGACGCGATGAAAATATGCGAAATCAAATCTAAAAGTCGGCGAAAAAAAACATCGATAGCCTGATGAGAAGACTCTTTTTTTTCTTGGTGTGAAAATTAGCAGGCATTTTCAACGTTGTGTAGTCTATCGGCATCGCTGCAACGCGAGTTAGAAAGGTCAGTGTGCGTGTTATGAAATCGTTCTGGCACTTGAATCCTCAAGATTATGAAAAAATCATGCGATCTGCCAAATTGATGAGTTTTTCCGATCTACGTAGAATAATCATGGAGCTGTTCACGAAAACTTACGGTGGATGACTTCATCAGTCTCATCCACTGTCGCCTTACATCGCCGCAAAGAATTAAAAACCTACCCTCTGGGAAGGCTTGTTCTTTTTACACTTTTGTCAGATTCTTTTTAAAGTACGATTCCAAGTCAAATAAATATAATTATTTTATTCAATTTTCATAAGTATGAAGGGTAAATAATAAAACTTTTGCAAGCATTATACCAAGTGTATGCCGTGTTTATCGAGGTGAAACTAGTGTAAAATAAATATGGTATTTGCCTAGGCTGCTCAAAGTAGATCGAAGTCTGTGTCAAAAAGAATCATTTCACGCGAGGACATGATTCGCAATTTTTTTTTTTTACAATTTTTCAATACAATTTGAATACACCTGTGACAAGTGAATATCTTAAAAAAATTAGTATGCAATGGGAGCACAAATTTTATGGGATTAGGCTCTCCCACACTTCTGAAATGTTGTTGTTAAATAATTTTACGTGGAGCTTGTGCTAGCAAGATTAAAACTGAAATATCAATCAAATTCGATCGTCAATTTTATATCATCACAATTCGTATTAAATTAAACAGTTTCGTCAAAATTTTTGGAATTGTTTTGCTTACCTCATAATCATGAGGGGCTTGGAGGACGAGGCGCATAAGTGCTATTTCAAGAAATGCGTGTTTGAAGTTTCGAAAGTAAATGATGCTTAAAAACTGGACCTGGGGACCGAATTTTTCACAGCATATGCATTAAGACTAATTTTACTTGAAATCATTAATATCTCAATTTTTTGAGTGAACATGAAAGTGCAATTATACGAATAATTTATACGATTTTTTCCTCCAAGTATTAAAAGCTCGTGGCCGCAAAACCACAAACGAGTTGATGGGGAAACCCAATTAAACGCCCTGAAAAGGTGGAATATTGAAATTCCTCCCTGCTGAACCTGGATCCTCCATCCTCGAACTAAAATTGCATATGCTAATCGAAAGGTGTGCGTGCATCCCGCTCAAGTAAGCACCGAGCTAGACTGTCGTGCTAAGGAAGAACGCCGTATGAACATTCGGGGGTTGCCAAATCTCCCTTGATAAAACCTGTACTTTTGAGACATTTTATGCATAGTTTTTCTTGAAATTTTCAGATATCTTAGATTAAATTATGTACAAAATTGTCTGAAAATTTGAAAAAATAATATTCACAATTTTCCTAGTAATTTCGGTTTTTATCGGAGGAAACTTGGCAACGTCTGAAGGCTCATATGGCGTTCTTCCTTAGCGCGGCAGTAGAGATGACATTGATCGATACGCTTCACTTTAATGTCAGGAGCCGAAAGCTCAGAGAGGGGGTGGTGGAAAATAATTTGCGGATTTACGTATCCGTAATGAGGATCGGAGAAACCGGAAAGAAAATTAGGTGTGTCGTGCACAGGAATCTAAAGACGCCTTAAAGGGAAAAGGCGTCTACGCCAAAAAAAAATCGTATCGCCCGATTTTGCACGAAGGTATGAAAACTGTAACTTGAAGCCCTCCGTTGGCATGCATGAGCTAAACTGTCGTGCTATGAATGAATCTGGGTTTCTTCGTCCAGGAAACGACGATCCTCGTAAAAACGCACGTGCATTTTTTCAACGTTGCGTTGGCTGCATTATTCTCAAAAACGTGACTTAAGGTGATTCAATGGACGCCATATTTTGTGTCAGAACAGCATGCGATACATCGTATCAATTGGTTCCATTTTTCAGCTACTCGTCATTTTTCTCCAATTTTGAGATAGCAATCCTGTTGTCAGGAGACTAAAGCACTCACTCACCAATTTTAACACAGCAATTCAACGTAATAAAGACGTGGTTTTTTCAGAGAGAAAACATCGCATCCGATACTGATATCGAAACCGCACTCGAATGCTATATTTTCTCTCTAAAAAAACCACGCCTTTATTACGTTGAATTTCTTCGTTAAAATTGGTAAGTGAGTGCTTTTGGTCTCCTGACAACAGAATTGCTATCTCGAAATTGGAGAAAAATGACGAGTAGCTGAAAAAATGGAACCAATTGATGCGATATATCGCATGCCGTTCTGACACAAAATATGGCGTCCATCGAATCCCCTTAAGGACTGTCTGAGGCGCCTGCACAATCCTCTGAATACTACAAGCATAGCATCATCAAACGCGAATATGCGACAATCGCTTCACCAACGTCATTAATCAGCATAAGCCTTATTGAGCGCCTGCAAAATCGTATGAATACTTCAAACATTGCATCATTTAGCGCAAAGATGCGCCGATTGCTTATGTATACTGCGCTTACCGTCGCGTCGTTGAGTAACGTCGTTTATCTCGACGGGATATTTTCACCGGCTTGCGGATTTTTTGCAAACTCAACGAGTTTGTTCAACAGTTTGACTTTAACTTGATATGACTTAACATTCGTTACACCCTTTACCTGGCGCATCTCTGCAAAACTCGGTCCAATTTTTGTGGATGGCTGCCACACTGAAAAAAAATTCTCGGCGTTTTTACCAAGGTCCGTTGGTACCTTTCCTATCTCACTAGTTTTACCAATTATTGGTAAATTTACCAAGACAGACTGGTAAGCTTACCTAAAAACCGGTATTTTTACTGTTTTTCTCAGGTAAGAATACCAGTTTCATTGGTAATCAATTCCCGGTAACTTTGCCATTTTATCTCGGTAATTCTACCACAGTCGATAAAAAATATTGGCGTTTTTACCGGGATCCAGTAAAATTACCGAGAACGTCAATAATTTTACCGAGATTTCTCGGTAAAATTACCAATTCCATAAATGGTAATTTTACCAAGAAAAAACTGGGATCAAATAGAACCCTGAATTCTTGGTAATTTTACCCTTTTCTTAGTGAATACACCGAGATTATTTTTTCAGTGCAGGTGTTTTGGTGTCTCATGTTCCCTCCGTTTATGCATTTCTGCATCGCGCTGTTCCTCTACTCCAGCCCCTATAACTCGAAAATTGAACCCTGCGATAATGAAGGAAACTCGGAAACTTTTCAGCGCGACAAGAGATGCAAGGAAGCTTTTGTAGACGCCATTGCAGTTAGTAGTTTCCCGATGCCTCGGGGGCTGATGGATGCGCAGTCTCAGCTTTGAGGCGCCTAAGAAGCGGTAAGCTCTCTTTTGTCAAGTCTCTCTGATTTCAGAACATTAACCCTCCGCTCCGCTCTTACTTATTCATTTCCTTTGACTCAATTTAACAAGACATTTACTCTGCCCTTCCGTGCCGTCTCATTCAATTATAAAATTCACTTTCCGCTTTTTTATACGTCTCTGCGTCTTATTTCATTCAGTCGTTTCCTTGCTATTGCTCCTGAGTATTCAATTTACCAATTTTCTACAATCTCTACTCTCCGTTCTTACTTAGGGATATGTTCTCAAATTCCAAGGCAAACACTCTTTTGCTATTATGATGTGGATGCATTTAACAGAGGAACACTGAGTTTTTCTATAATTCAGGGGTCTACTTGTTAGATGGACCACATTTTGCAAGTAGGAGCTGCAATCATTTCTAGTTTAGTTTAGAAACATCTCACGTATAATCAGTTTCGCAATGAGCATAAGTCGTTTTACGGATGAGATAGATATAGTATAGTTTCCTATTGTAAAATGTAATCCATTTGATGTACAGACTTATAGACTTAAATTGATTTCAGGTATAAAAATCTCGGGTCAAGAAAGGAACTTTTTCCTTCTTCCTTTCTCTTTAGCAGCTGCATCTTCGTTGGTCAAACTATATTCGTAAATTAAACCAGTTTAGGACCCCCCCCCGCCTTTTTCCCAGATAGCGAGGCTTCGGGGGCCTACAGACCGTCAAATACGGATTTCTCACCAATGAAAACATATTTATTCCTTTACGTTAATTTAGTGAACGAACAGCAGTGGGACCTGTTCCCCAACTTTGAGGGGTCAATTTTTCAAATACGTATGAGTCAACATTGATTTCTTCATAATGATATAGATTAAAATTTTCGGTAATATTTTTAATTACGATGGCATTAACTCAGACTTTTGATACAACTTCTTACCTGTTAGGTGAGGACCTCCCTTTTTTTACCAATTTGGGGGGAGGGGGAGCTCCGGAGCGATGAAATTGGGACTCCTTATAAGGTTCAATTCACCCAGCGGTCCCCGACTTCGCTCGACCTAAAACAACTTAAAAAAAGCCAGTGGCGTGGCGTGCTTTGCGATGTATCGATTGATCCGCCATTTAAACCAATGGAAAAGTATCGATAAACAGGGTGTTCGCAGTGAACACCTTATAAATCGATTATTTACCACAGCTTCAAATGGGGAAATATCGATAGTTCGCAAAGCACGCCACGCCACTGAAAACGGCCTGTCACGAGTTGTTTGGGACTCCCTTTATATAATAATTTATAAATATAAAACACAAAAAAGAAGAAATCGGTTGGTTTTAAACTTCTTGAACTCGCAACTCCGTGCGGAAAAAGTGGATCGTACCCGAAGGACAACCGTTTGCCAAATTTTAAAGGTCACTTACCATTGAAAGTCGTACCCTTCCTTTTGAATTTTTCCCCTCCAAATTAAGTTGGCATTTGCTAAAATCTCCTGAAACCGTTCATTGTTGACAGATTGTGCTGGAAAATTGGCACTTTCCTTTACTCGATGTGATTTACTTATTATTACATAACCTGGCAACCTTGAGGCATTTAGATATGGCGATTCTTCCCTCTTGGACGAAGTTTCAGAATCGGATGTTTTTATGCTAAAAGGAACTATGCTGCACGCAAGCCCCATTCGCATAGTTCCTTTTAGCATAAATACGTTCAATTGCGAGGTGGATCAGCGGATTATATGGAATCACACCGACACCGGTCCCCTCTTCTCTCAGCATTAATTGAATAAAATTTCAGTTAATTTAAATTCATTCTCATGACGGTTGAAGTAATCTGTTGATAGAAATTATGGAATGCAGTTACGAATGTGGTAAAAACTTATGTTAAAACAATTTCGATGGTGGAACTAAAAAATTCGCACACTAAACTCCTAATCTTCTTGGATACATTGGGGCTCGGCCGACCTGGATCAAGAATATATCCGGTTAATCTATAAATGGAACATTACTTGATAGCACATTTTATGTTTGAAACCTTTTTTTTTTTTTTTTTGTAAGCATAATGCTCTACTTACCTATGAGCTTATTCAAAACATTTCAAAAGATATTAGTACCTGATAATCTAAGCATGCCCTGGTCCTTCACTAGCTTCCTCATCTAAATATGCACTAAAATACGAGTATTGAGGTATTTTTCGGTAAAAGAGCGTATGAGACTTTCAATGCTGCTAAGATTGTGTAACGTACTTCTCTAGTTGTCATTAACAAGATTTTTAGATTTTCGGCTACTCATCATGCGATAAAAAAGGCTGAGCTATTAGCCGATTTAACAAATATATATGCAATAATTGCTACCCAAGCCATTTGTTGTCATTAACTTATCCAACGGTTTCAGGACATTTTGTCAACGATTTTTAGTCCGCGCACCTTTTTTGTCCAGTACTTTACGCCCACACGTAAAATAAGCAACGGTGACTTCGTCCAAGCGTT